AATTGCTGCGGCGGTGACTCATCCATCATAGCATTTACGTATGTATGTCGGAGTCCAGAGACCCATACGCAAATCATAATTGCCTTTTCTTTTTTTGAGCGAGGGGTTACAATGATCACGAGGCTAATTTCGTTCAATAAACAACTGTTTTTGTGCTTTTGATTATGCCGAGAAGTGGCGTATTGAATATCTTCTTTCCCCTGCATTCCTGTCCCACCGGAAATCCTCCTCTTCCTTCTATTATTGGACATAATTTCCACGCCACGTTGATCGTCATCAGGACGCTTAAGAAAAAAAAATATATATGCCACGCATGAATGATCTGCCTCTGCGCCAATCGTGCCAAAGCACCTCTCCAATTGGGTCGTCGATGCATTTCGTTATTAGAACATTTACACTGCAGAAAACTTTTCGAATTGTTACAACTTATTAGCATTTTTTTCAGTGTAACAAATAAACAAAAAACTATTTCTGTGGTTCAGACCATGTTTTTCAAAAAACGCGCAGTTTATTATGCAAAATGCTTTATTTATCAATCAATTTTCATTAATAAACAAATTAAGTTGTATGTATCGTCTGCTTTATTATTACTAAGAATTTAAAGTTTTGTATACCTTTTTCGATTGCTTATTCTAAAATAATTATATAAGTCAAAAGAAATTATGTATTTGCATATGTTTATTATTTATTAAAAGTTTTAAATTTTTTACAATATAAAAATATCCTAATTATTAAGAAATGTAACATTATAAGTCTGAAGTAAAATTATAAAAATAAATATTAAACCATATTGTACATATACTTTATTTAATTTATATTTCCATTTATAATCTAATAAATAAATAATAAAATAAATAAATTTAAATATATAATATACTAATTGTTTTTTTTATTTTTAATTAAATTGTTATTTGAAAACATGGATTATTTTTTTTTATAATATTAATTGAATCTTGTTTATTAATCTTGATACTTGGTATATATTATATTTATATATTACATAAAGCTTATTATATATAAATAAAGCTATATTTAAATTTAATTTAAACTATTCAAACATACTAACTTGTTATTATTAATTTATTGATATATTAAAACATTTTTAACTTGTATTAAATTTTTTATAATTTTATTTTATTAAAAAAAAATTAAAAAAGAATATCTTATTTAATAAATAAAGTTTTTATAATAATTAAAAACTTGCTTTATTAAAAGTCTAAATAACTAATTAGTATATTAGAAGTATATAATTATTAGTAATTTTATTTTATATATTTGATAAAACTATCATTTCATTATTATTCAAAAGGAATAATTATATTATTGCTTTCTTGTTTTATCTAACTTTCAAATTTTTAAATCAAAAAAAACTATATATATATATATATATATATTGAATTTCTCTTATAAATAAAAAAAATTTTTTTTAATTCAACTAGCTGGGCCTTGCCTATATATTCTTTTTTTTTTTAAAGTAAGAAAACAATATTACTTTAATAAATTGTATAATTAAAAATTATTACAAAAAGAAAGTAATAACATTTCTTATGTGACTAATTGATTAATGAGTTTAATGCTAGCTCACCTACTATTTATCACTATCTAAGTAGTAAGAAAAACAAATATTAAAACCATTATATATCTAAGATAGCATTGAGTAGCTAAGATCTCTATTTAGAAATATTAATAAAAAAAAATACAATTTAATTTGATACATATTAATAATTAATAAATAACTCTTTATATTACAACTTCAACTTATATGACTATAGATTTAGAGAGATTTAAATGTGAACATATACTTCCTAGTAAATACTTTGAAACTGTAATCTTTGATTGACACAAATTACTAAATTTAGAAGTCATATGACCAAGTGAAGTATGGCTTCAAAATCTTCTAGTAGATACTCTAAAGGATTTAGTTGGCTTAAGCTGTCAAATTTAGAGACTAGAATATCAAACAGAATGTAACTTCTACATATAGATATTTTATTTAAAAGCCATGAAAGTATCATATATTAGTGTTCTCATCATTAATATCTTTTGAATTATAAATAATTATTAACACATAACAGATTGTTGTTATTGTTATTATTATTATTGTTATTGTTATTGTTGTTATTATTATTGTTATTATTATTATTGTTATGACATTAGTAATAGATGATGTGATTTTTGTGATATGTAATTGGTGAAAAAAAATTTGTTAATCTTTTAAAAAAGGTAAATTGATTTCAGTTTTTCTACATTCATATATGTGAGCCAAAAAAAAAATCAAACCAAAAGCCTTTATTTATATAACTTTTATTATTAAGATTTCCAAGTTTTAATAAATCCAATCAAGAGTTTTATTTTTATGCAGCTTGAGTTTTTTTAACCAAACTCTTAAAGTTGACATATATGTAATAAAACTTGAAATGTGTTAAATTTATTGTATCAGTTTGGCAGAGATAACTTTTTATCTTGAAGAAGAAAAACCAGACTTTTATCCAATAAGCCTAAAATAGAGCTTCTAATGAGTCAAGTCAAGTCAAGTAGCTTTCAAGCTTTTTTTATTATTATTTTTTATATAATAGATTATATTTTAATCAAATTTTAAAATATTATTTATATTATGCAAGTTTATACAAGCCTATAAAAATAAAAAATGAGCCTATTTTTTGAAGCCCTAGTCTAGAATTTAACCTTTTGCATATAACACCTAGGACTATTCTATCTAAACCTCTTATATTTTTAGCAAGAAAGAGATAACCAAAAGTCTTCTCTAGAAAAGAATTTTTATTTTTAATAGTAGTAAAAGAAGGAAAAAAGTTTTTTTGAAGAAAAATTAATTCAACAAGCTTTTTCGTTCTTGTCTTGTTAAAATTTTTTAAAAAGAAAGTTTTTCAAAAAAATTGAGGAAACGAAAAAGATTTTTTTTTCACCTATACATTCTTTTTTATTTAATTCACATATGCTTTACATTATATATTACAGGAGAAAGCTACCTATAAATTACTCTAAATATTACTAGATTACATCAGATTTTATTTTCATGTCAGCTTGTTACTATTGATTATAAATCCAGAGATTTACATATGTCAAGACTAACATGCTAAAGCTCCATTAATATCATTATTATATGAAAGTTTCTATTTCTAATTGGGAATATATTAAGAGAAGTATAAAGAGAGAAACTGGAAGTAGTACTTATTGGACAAATAGAACCCCTGCAGAAAAAATCCTTCTAAATCCAATTACCTGTAGCTAGACATACTATTTAATTTTCATTATATTAGAGCTACCCAAGAATATTTAAGAAACTTATTTCACAGACTTACTATCTATAGATTATTTTAACTATTAGTACTTACTATTATTTTGGCTGCCTTTCTGAAATAAGTAACTATCAAAGCAATTTATTACTGGATTGGAAATAAAACCTTTCCAAAAACTTGCAAGAAAAAACATCAGGTATCATAAAGAAATGATCATTAAGTTATTTTACTGAAAGTAGATACCTCATACATTTTATAACTTCTAACAATTATCATAACATTAACTGAACAATCATTATGCCATGACATCTTTTTTGAAAATCACAATCTCAACGCTTGCTGGATCAGTATATAAAACAGCTTTTTATAAGAAACAATACTTATACAGGTTATGACATTAGATACCATATTAATTTTATTCAACTGCTCTCACATGAGGTTGAATTGATATCTTGTGATTTGACTTGTGAAGTGTTAATCACTATACTATCATCAAAAAATTTTTAATATAGAATTTTTAAAATAAAAAAACACCAGAAATTTTTATTTCAAAAAAATTTAAAATTCTTTGAAATAATAATAATTATTTTAAAATAAATAATTATTTAATAAATATTCATTATTTTTATCAAATCTTGGAATTATATAAACTAAATTATCTATTGCTCTTATATCTACTAAATTATATATATTGATTGATTTAAGATATGTATATTCATATATATATAGTGATTTTTTTGATTTAAAATTATATCATTATACTAATACTAATTGTAATGAAGGCTTTTTTTTTTTTTTTTTTTTTGAAGGAGCAAAAGACTATTACACTTTATTTTATTATTATAATTTTAGACTTGCAATACAAGATTTATAATACAGTTACAGTATAACATACATCTCTCTTTGCTAAAAAGAGTTAAATGTCAGGCTCTGCAAACATAATCCATTCTCTATGCTCCTTAGCACCACCCAAGAATATAGAAAAAGGAAATTCAAAACCTATATTATGCCTTGGATGGTATCTAGCTATCTAGAAAATTTGAATACTTAGTCACATGAAAGCGCTGTAACCATTATATAAAGATTGGCCTCCAAGTCATAACTAAGATTGGCAAGTTTGCTTTTCAAATGTGGCTTGATGTACGGCAAGCCAAGATGTGTTCCACCTTGTACTTCCTTTGAATAACTGTTCAACTAGTTAAATAGCTGCTACACTGATGCAGACATCTCGTGGAGATTAGCTTTTCATCTGACCACTTAGTATTTGATCTTCTCTATCTTTCTAGGATTGTGGCAAATTACAGGTTGACCAGGCCTGTAACAGTTGCCTACATTTGCAGCAAGTAGGGAAGGGGACAGCCGCTTTTCATAAGAAGCTTTGTACACATAGCTGCACTATTTAAGTATTTGAGTAGAATCCAGCACCAGTATAAGATGGAGAAGATGAAGGAAAAGTGTTTGGACGTATAGTAGTGGTTGTTGAAGGAAGTTGTCAGACATAATGGATTTGGAGTTTCTTATAGATATTGTTACCTAACCTTGTACAATGAGCCTATATTGTCGGAGGAGTAAGCGAGAAACTTTTGTTGTTATCACCAGCTCGTGTTGCAAGGTAACTAGAATCCTTAGTCTTTATATATTATTCTACTAGGTTCTCCAATTACCAGTATAACACCTGCAACTAACCTAGCTTATTGTTAGCTATATTGGCATTGGCTGCCATATCTTTCTGGATACAGTGAGGTGCAACTCCTTGGATATTTTCAGATAATAATAGTTGTACACCAGTTTCTTAGATGTATCTAGTTTAGCCATCAACAAGTAAACAACACTGGATTTGGTAATAATAACCATATCGATCTTTTGGAGGGGGTAAACTATCCGTCCTTTTTCTGTGAGGCCATGAAAGAGAGAAAATTCTAAAGCCCACGTCTTAAGAGAAGTTATCACTTCTGCATATGGTCTTGAGAAAAGAGAGCCAACTGGCCAAAGGG